CCCCAAAACCCCAAAACCCCAAAACCCCGTGATGGCAGATTGCAGGAAAATTTAAATGTTTTTAGATGAAATAATAAGATAAGTAATAAGAATATGTTTTCATTTAGATCAACCTCACTAGCAGTACCAAAGAAAAAGGCACTCACCCTTGACAAAATCCACTCTATTCATCAGAAAATTTATGAGTTTTCGCCTGATCAATGCATCACAGCCATCTAAGCTTGTAAAGACTTCTTGTTAGAATTTACTTCTTCTTATAGGTCAAAAAAATATGCAAAAGACTAATCAGTTGATTTAGTTGCTTGATGAACAGTAACCTGGGGTTTTGAAGGAGTAGTAAGACACCCTGAACCATAGAATTCTAATGAAGAACAAAGAAATCATCGATCTAACTTAGACACACTTGAAAAAATGGCTGAAACTAATTTAGGAAAACGTGATACATTTTCATGAATAAGTCAAACCAAATAGTCATCTGAGAAACAAGTTCTAATCATTTGAGTAATATGAGAAACGTTTGAAAAAACTAAACAAAGATAGTCTATTCAAGGAAGTCTAGCATGAAGAAATTGACTTGTCCTAGTAAAAAGTTCCATCTTCCTCTTTTAAACACAAAGATCTCGAGGACATCTAGCCACGCCATAGAAGCTAAAGATATCACAATAGCAAGTCTTAGAGGAATAAGCAAGGTGAGGAGAAGCAACTTGAAATCTTAAACAGTATTGCTGAAAATCAAGATATTATGGACAAAGCAGAGGATTTATTAGACTCCTATTCAAGCTATTCAAGGTCTCTTAGGGACTAGACTTATGAAGAGCGCAAATCTATGGATTCAATGAGTCGAAAGAGTCAAATATCCAGGTCTTTAAAAGATGATTATCACTCTCATTCACAAAAACAGCATCATAAATCGCCAATGACTATAACATTTGGTGCCACTCTTGCTACTTGGATGAACAACTAAAATCTCCTAGATTAGCAGCAAGAATAAATTGATGAGATAAATCAGCTGTAGAAAATCGAAGAGGAAAACATGGAGAATGATCCTGAAGAGATGATAGCCAATAATACATATGCTCCTGAAACAGAGGAGTAGAGACGTCACACAGAAATGCTTAAGAGAATGGAAAAAGTTTACTCAGATATAAGTTATATTGACTATGATATACTCAAGTAGTATGAAGGCTTTGAGAGAAGAGTCAATATCAATTCATCTACTCTAGTCATTATGTGCATAAATAAGCTGTATTAGATTATGCTAGATCATGGAGTACTGCTTATCAATGGATAGACAGTAGTAGATACCAAAAACATCAAGAGGCTCTTTGTTCATGTAATTTTTCAAATTTTCTGATAACCTTTTGATTAGTTCTCCAAGATTTATATCACAGACCAGATGCTATTTGTGTCAATGTAAGCTCCTCTGGACGATGTGTTCTATTTGCATGAAGATCACCCTGAATGGAAGTTTTTGATGAATCATTTCCAACTAGTGGTAAGTTTTTGTTTTAATTTATTATTTAATAGGAATTTAGTGACGACTCAAAAGTAATTGGATCTTACAAGACCTTCTACTAAAACATTGCACTTGGCAATGCTTTTGTCAGCAAAGCCTTTATTCATTAAAACAAAGCCAAAAGGTACTTGTATACTAGTCTATACGCTTCTTACTACTTTTTCTTTAAGCAAAAGAGACTTGACCAAAATGATTTCTTTTGTGCCAATCCTGATTTAGATCTAGCTAGAGAGATATGGAATCTTTTGGAAAGCAAATATATCAAGAAAGTGTTTGGCAGATTCCTGCCGAATATTAGAATCAATAAAAGGATTTACATTCCAATGCTAGACACTGTTTTAAACGTTGATAATGTGTTCAATTTACCTGCATTTGATGAGACTTTGGAAGATGTCAGGGAAATGAGATAAAGAGAGATTGCTGATTAAAAATAGAATAAGCAGATTGGAAAAAGATAGCAAGTCCTCAAGTCACATTATCTGAATCAAAGCTAAACACAAGATAATCAAAGAACTTCATCAGACTAAAATACTGATAGTAGAAAAGTTCTCTATGGCATTAAGTCAACTGACTATAACCCAGAAACTCATGTCTAAGTAAGAGTTTTAAATAATGAAGACTTACCCACAGACTTTGATACTGGAATAAATCAACAGGACTTTTAATACGATAACTATGCTAATGCCTAAGTCAATTAAAATAATGGAGGTGGATTTTTTGGTATGTTCTGCTGCGTCCCTCCAAGGATCTTTAATAGGCCTGAAAGAAGGTTTAATAGTAGTGTAGACAGTTTGATTATTCATATGCATGGAGGTGGTTTCGTATCTATGAGCTCTGCTAGTCATTAGAACTATACTAGAATATGGTCTATTGACACCAAATTGCCTGTTTTTAGTATTGATTACAGACTATCTCCATAATATTAATTCCCATCAGCAATTAATGATATTTGGCAAACCTATTACTACATAGTGGAGCATGCCAAATAAGAATTTGGAATTAATCCTAAACGAATCATATTAGTGGGTGATTCAGCTGGCGGCAATCTTGTTGCTGCGATTACTATTATGTGCATTATGAGAAATTACAGAAAGCCAGATGGCATCATCCTTGCATACCCAGGTATAAATATCATTGAGTTAATTTAATCTATAGCTTTGAACTTGTCTTTCACAGATTTTACTCCTTCAACTTTACTAGCCCTTGATGATCCAATTTTACCCTTTCCTTTCCTAAAGATGTGCTTAGAGTCTTATGTCGGGAAAAACGTAGAGCTTGCTAAGCATCCTTATCTTTCCCCTTTAAAGGCCTCAGATGACGTTCTAAGGCAGTTCCCTCCAACCAGAATCATGGTTGCCAGCAATGATCCTATAAGAGACGGCAGTTTCTAATTTACTCTAAAACTAGCGTAATAAACTTATAGTTATTAATTTTTACAGTAAATTGGGTGTTGATGTGAAACTGAAGGAGTTTAGCTTGATGCCACACGGATTCTTATCTTATAACTTCCCTATCTGGGGTATGAGAGATGAATCAATGGAAGGCATCAAACTTGGCACAGAATGGATCAAAGAACTCATTGAATTGACAAAGACTAATCCTCAACCAAAGACACAGAATTATAACTCAGAACTAAGTGAGCGACAAGGTGCTTTATTTGAATACATTCCAGCTACAGAAGACCCTGATTTTTCCGACTTATAGAAATAAGATAACGAAGACCAAGTAGAGGAAGTAAAGATATAAGAATAGTGATGACCCCAGGAGTTTCATAAGAATTGAGGATACTAGTTAAATAACTCAAAGCTATTTTTATTAGATAATTTAGGAATTCTTTATTTCTTAACATCCGCAATTAATATTAGTATGAGGAGTGAGCCTAAATTAAATAATAAATATTAAATTTGAATAATCAAAATGGAGATACTAATTTGGCTGTGGGTCTGGGACAAACGTTTCTTCTTTGGAGTTAATCACAATCCCTCAGTCCTCTTGAATATATGGTACGCATTTATTCAATTCACTTCAGGAATGATATTTATGGATATATAGGATTCTGCCTATCATTTTGAGTTTGATCTTAGCATTGCACTCATACGAAGTAGTGTTCTCTGACAAGGCTGTGTAGGAGTAGCAGCAAGGCAAAATAAACTCTTGCATCGATAATGATCTTTACAAGCAATCCACTCACTATCAATACATGCAGGTGTTCAACAGTGCTTTGCTTGTCATGACTCTTGTTAAGGGATATATTGAAAGGAATAGAGATGTAAGTTATACTTGATAAATTAAGGATACTAGTCACAGACTACCATCCAATAAATTAGATTAGTCTTTTATACCTTGATTCACATACTAATTTGAATTTTAGATATCTGGAAAACAGGATTAACTCTAAGGCGTTTACACCACTAAACAGCCAGTTGTGAGTGCCTACTAGCACACCCACTTTGACTTCTGGCAGAGATAGAATACAGCCTTTTCCTACATTGCATTGACCATGCTGTTCTTCAACTTCTATGTCTACTATATTAGCTTCAGAGTAGCTGCTGCCTTTAGCAAGTCAACTTGCCCTTCTGATTCCTATTACGAGATTCTACCAGGAGCTTATACCACACTTATTCATGCTAATATCGTTCAAGTTGTGGGATCATTTGCAATTGGATCATTCCTGCTAGCTATACTAATCAAGTTGATTAATGTGATTTCATTTGTAACTTGCCCCCTCAAGATGCTTTGGTTCAAGAAGAATGTAAGAGCATTCTGATAGTAGTATGGTCATGATAAAGCATAGATTAAAGTTTGCTGATAAGATTAAGCACTCATTAAAATCAAATTTAGTTTAATCTTAGTAAAATTTAGCAATAAATATTATAATAATTAACGATCATTAACAAAACTACCTATTATTTTAATCTCATTAAAGATCAATTCAATCTTATTCTCAAAATTTAGAGTCTTTTAATCCAAATGAAGTAGATCTGAGTATAGGTCTTGAACTTGGGATGGCGTTTGTAAATTTAGAAAACTCTGTTTTTTTCTTGGAGAATAAATTAGGGAACTTTTCAACAGACTGCTTATAGTCCTAAAAGAAATGCGGTGCTTTTTCTTATTCATAGAATTGGGAAATGTATCGCTTACGCCCCTTGGATTCTGACTGAAACTTATCCTTTTTAGAGAAGTTTATAATGTCATTGTGGTCCTTCTCGAATGAAACTCTAGTAGTGGGCTCATCTATAAAGTGTGACTATTTGTTTTTCATTGTCTTTACATTTTATACTACTTTTTCACTCTGCTACTGTATATAAGTTTTATTGCTCACTAGGCCAGTCTTGATATCGAATAAGTCGATAGGGCCATTCAAGGTAGTTGGTCTCTAGCTTCTATTCTTAATGTACTGATCTTTACTTTCCTTTGTTGGTGACAACTCCTAGCTATTTGATCTCTCTCCAATACCGCTATTCTAACCTGTTTACACGCTAGTAGTGCCTTAATTATTTCCCATTCCCAGACTTGAATTAATTGTCCTTATTGGAGATGTTAGCTCAGAATACTCATTTCTATGAGAACCGCCAGCTGCTAAGACTAATGTAGCATTAGTATGAGAGACTACAGATTTCCCAAATCCGTTCGCTGAGTGTTTTTCAAGATAGCTCTTGCTGTTAATTTCCTTGTTTAGTTCGTATTTTCGTTTGATTGCACTTTAATCTCTGTAAGAGGTATTAATGCTAATACTCACTGCTTAATCCTGATTCACTTGGACAATATTCGAGGAGAAATTTGACAGAGTGCGGTTAGGATCTCTTGAAAATACTGAGTAAGCTGTTTTCGTAGCATGAGCTGGAGTTATCACAGGCTAGTGTGGTTCGTGGAATGAAAATTCTTTGAGAAGGTCCTTTTCTTAGATGAAAAGATTAGGCTTTATAAAAGGCTTTTAGGATTGAACAACGCTTTAAGGCATCACATACTGAATTTAATAAGATCTTTGATTTTGGGAAGCGAGTGTGCTGTTCTATTAGTTATCCAATGATTTTTGCCTGAGATATGCCTTTGATTCCCTAATGCTGTGATCCTCATTTCTGATAGTGTTTGCGTAATTGTTTCCATTTGAAGATCTAAAGTCAGTTATATCATTTGACTAATGAATGGTATTGAACTTGTTTTGTTCCATTCTAGTTTCCTTAACGTTATTAATGGTATTCTGAATCATTGACTTGTTGTTAAAGTAGTTTGATGCCCCCTTGTCTAGTTGAAAAGTAAACATGCCAGCTTACTTCATTAGCGAGCCCTCTCTAAAGGTGGAAGAAGACTGTCTTTAATGTGAAGGTAATTGGGAATTCGTGGGCGAAACAAGTGATGCTTTCATAGTAGTATTATTATTAATTATTTATTCTTTTTTAACTAAAATAAAATTAAACTTTCAATTTATCCCTTCTATTTTTTTAAATATTAGATCACGGGGTTTTGGGGTTTTGGGGTTTTGGGG